GGTGTACTTCTGGTTGTATGAGACACGCACAAATTCACAAGTTGTTCTGTTTTTAGAACACAAATTAATTTTTTTACAAGATTTTCTTGATCAAATTGCACACCACGCCATAGTTGAGAAATCGTTGCATATTAATCCAGTGGGGAAGAAGAACTGGTCTCCCTTTTCCTACAACTCATCTCCATCACGGTGTACCGGTCAGTCACCCTGCCATTTTCATTCCGTCTTGTCGTCAATAAAATATTGTGGGGCAAGGAGATCCCAACACCCTAGGTGGCGAGCCATCTAAGAACGGAGGCTCAAATACCTCCGTCGTTGTCGTCAAGGGGGGGGGGGAGAGGCTCTGAGTTATGGTGTGGTGGGCTGTCGAGAGCTCGGCACATTTGGTGACGGGCAAGTCGAGCGCCGGGGACGCCAGTCAAGAACTTGAGATGACAAGATGGTGTCTTTGTGTCGCTAGTACAATCAGTGAAGATTGTGCGTGCCGGCTTGGGGTAATAGTGCGATTTCTCCGGCAGTCGTCGCCGCTGTTAGAGGCTGGCTCGGAATGGCTTGCTGGAGTGCATGTGCCCCTCTTCTTGGTTGATTATGGCAAGCATTGATGTTTCCTTTTGATTGGCAGGCATGTCAGCGAAAGAGCCAAATATGTGGAGTGACCGAAACCTCATTAATGTCAAGGAGATGATCAGACACACTGGCCTCTTGGGGTTTCTTTGGATGGTGTCATACAGTTAGGAATGGTTTCTTGCTCAAGGGTAAAGAAGCTGTGAAATAAGTACATGGAGTTTTTGCTTCCAGAGAACCAGATAGATGTAGATGTCTTTGGTGATCATTTGCAATAGACGCAAAATGCAATTGATGTACACGTAATGCTTTGTTTACATGTGTGCTTTCCTGTGAGGGTTCAGTGGACCATTGCTCACGTCACTGCTGTAGGAAAGCATGCGTAAGTCTATTCCTCGTTAGTATCTGGTGACGCAGCTTAGTGTGGCCCATTCATGGATCACCCCCTCCATGGGACGGGAACGCACCATATAGATAAACCTGATAAATGGATTTAGAAACAGAAAATCAAATAATCCAAATATTGACCCGCAGTATATTTACACGTCTCAGTCATCGTTAGTGATTCTTGTTTTTCTCTGTCTTTAGAGATTTTTTTTATTCAAAAGAAATGCTGTTTGGGAGGGGGAAAAAAAAGGAAAAGTAAGACATGGTGGTGGTTGGAAAAGTGTAGATTTGTCGAGGCTTTATTGTGCTGTAGTTATGAGGTATTGATGGTAGTAATGCCATGGCAACATGGAAAGATAGATGTACACGTATGCAGACCATTAGAGATCATCATTTCAGTTTGGCACTTGAGCTTTGAGCTTTGGTTAATCAGAGGTACTAAGACCCAAACATGATAAGATTTTACAAGTGAAAATGTTGAGTGACGAGAGACAACACAAGAGACATTCCTGCTCATTTGGTGGAAGATGTCAGAAATTTGCCGGCAATGGACAGCGGTGCCTGGTAAAATCTGTGCACAGTGCACATCCTGTCCAGTGAATGCCCGATGTGCGTATGCAAGACTTGAAGCTTTCCACTCCCCCGTGCCGCAGTCTTCTGGATTGACATGCTGGGGACAGATGGATTGACTGTGATTTACCTAAGGAGATTGGGAGGGTTACATCAGTGGGGGTAGGGTCAGTCAGATATGTTTTTTTTGGTTTTTTTTTTCAACTGTCATATCTCAGGCATCAAGGTTGATGTGGTTATTCTTGTAATATTTGTACTTGGGGGGGTGGGAGCAGGTTTTTGTGTCTGGGAGAATGGTGGTGTCTTGTTCCACAGTGTTGCTCTCTTTTGCACTTGCTTAAATTGAATGTGTTTATTTTGATAGCATACAAATGGGGGAGTCTTATAAAAAAAAATTGCTTTGTTGCCGTGGGTTGACTTCTGGCACTCTAGCATTCACTGATGTAGTGATTACTTCTGGTTCTTACACTCTTATCACATTTGCCTGTAAGCAAATCCTATTTGAATAACATGGACATATACTCTTGATGTTTTTAACTTTTTTTTCTTGTGGTTTATTCATTTGTGATGAGGTTTCAGGCTGATTAGCCTGTCACTACATGTACTTGGCAGTGTCTTTCCTGAGCGGGTTAGGAGTTTTTTTGTAATATGCAGGCCAATCGGAGATGATGCTGCCATTCTTTTGCATCCCATTCTCGTAAAATGCTGTAGGAAATTGATAGTGTTGGGCAAGCGTTTACAGGTACGATGTCGTACGCGTATTTAGCACACAGGATTTTAATGGGAGATTTATTTTTGAGGAGTAGACTTTTTGTTTAGTTTTGTTTGTTGTAAGTGGTGTTTGTAACAGAGCTTTGAAAATGTACCACTCAGGTGAAGAGGCATTTACACTGGCCATAAACTGATCAGGGTTAATTTTTTCATTGGCATTCCGACTTGAGTCAGGAGAATAACAGGCTCATGACTTAGCTGGAAAAGTCACACCTGTAGGTCTTACGCACCTGCTTATTATACCAAATGACGGTTTCGTCTGAGTGATTTCCAGTGCTAACTCTTACCGGTACATTCACTGAAGGAAGGGGGGATATCTCTTTCTTCAACACCCACCGGTATGTCACGCAAACGCACCCAACCCTGAGCCCTTAAGCACTCTATTCAACGTTGTGCTCCAGCGATTGGTTAAAAAATACATGAGACAGGGCAGACTGGCGGCTCGTCCGTCATTCCGGGACGTGTTTCAATTTGTCACTGGGTTTTGTGGGCTGACGGGCTGGCTAGCATGGCTTGAAAAAAGCAGTCCATTTATGAGAGGGAAAGCCGTGCACCCCCAAAAAGAAAGTTCCAATAAGAAAGTCTGACTGGCCAAGAAAAGTCCCGTGTGAGACATGCATGCAAATCAGGATTGCAGCATGGTCTTCCAAAACATTTGCAAACCTGAATTGTAAATAACACATTGAACTTTGGATTAGAAAGCTGACCCCTAAATAGTGTAATCGTTTTTATCTTGCGTGTGGTTTTGTCTTGGCAGCTGACGAAAAAAGGGGGAAGGTTCTAGTTTGTGTTCTTTTATCTCAGTTCATTAGATCCACCATCTGTACAGTGGGGCCAAACATGATTCTCCCTTTCATGCCGTTGGCTGAGCATTTAAGTACGTCTGTTCGTGGAAAGTGCATAAAAAGAGGGATGTTGAGAAAAAAAGGCAAGTTTTTGAACTCTCTAAAAAGCAAGTGATGTCATTAGGGGTCTGTCGGGGCAACGGAAGAAAAAAAGTCCAAACAGAATCAGATTGTGTGAAAGTAGCGGCAGGGAGAACTTCCGCTTGCCTTGATGAAGACAAGAGCACAGCATTGTCGCAGCACAAACAAGGCGAGAGGTGCAAAAAGTCAGCGCCGGCGCTACAGTAGTTGAGGCCCCGTCCCCCCTCGGCCCTGGCTGGTGCGGGGCTAGTATTTTATATTGACAGATGTGCCGTGTCATTGTAGTTGAAAGTACCCAACTGCGTGGACCCAGTCGTCCGTTCCCTGCTTTGTTCCAGGCAGCCCTCGGTGCTGATTGTTCAGTGCTAACACCATAAATCAGCTCTCCATACCGCAAAAAAAAAAGAAAAGAAAAAAAGGATGTGGTGAAGGTAAAAGGAGGAAAAAAGGTCCCTAAAGTTCTAAAAGAGAGGAGCTGTACTTTTTAGCTCCTGATGCACCACTAAGCCAGAGATCAAAAGTACAGTCAGGTTAGCAGGGGTGGCACCCACGTGAAAATGTTGCTCTGTACTGTTTATTTCAAGTTCAGGCCTTTGTCAATTTTTTTTTTTGTCCCCTAGACCCCAACAGTAGCTTTCTCCGTATTTTTGACTTTCATTTGAAGGGCAGTTAATTTCGTAACTTTAGTTCTCTTTGTTTCCATTGAGGGCAATATGTATACATTTTGCTTGACAATTGCCTTTGAAACATGAGCCAGTTGCCTCTGTGCAGCGTTGCGTGTATGTGGGTGGCTTTTCTCTGCCAAAAGGCTTGAAGAGATTTCAAATTAATGACCCCGAAATCCAAGTTGATTCAAAAGCGTCAATTCCACATAAATCATGCCACCCTGCAGCTGGTATCGTGAGAAAGCGGTGAAGCGCTCGCAGAGAGTCGTCATTGTCTAAGATCTTGGCCTTTCGTAGCTGTACTGTCACCTGGACAAAGTTCCATGGCTTTGTATGGTATGGAGCATTCTGGGAGTTTTTTTTGGGGGGGGGGGTCGTGACAGGTACGTATCGGACGTGTACATACATGTATAGAAAGTCTAAACTGAAGCAGTCTGTTGTACATGTACTGCCTGACATGCACTGCACATAAACGATAAATACAGAGAGAGAGACTTATTTGTTGCCAAAAGATTCTCTGCCCATCTTTGCAACTGTTGTTTTGCTGTGTCATAGAGAAGCAATACATGTTTTCATCTGACCTTGGGGAGGGGTGTAGTGAAAAATCCTCCAAATAGTAACAGGGTCGGATGAGGCTGTAACAAGATATTGAATCAGAAGGACATTTCAAGAAATGCTAATCTAGACATACTCTGGACTCATAGCTTTCACAGTGACATGTGCCTTAGGGATTGGTAACAGCCCATGGACTGTGCGTGACCAAGAGAGGGCGCCTTGTTAAAAGCCGGTTCATACTACAGGCAAATGTGAATGCGAAGCAAATTTGACACCGCAAAAGAGTTGCTGCAAATTTTCGCTTGAGTTGAAATGTGTTCAACTTTCGCGAAGTAGCTGTGCAAATATTTGATCAGATGTCACAAATTCGCATTTTGCGGTAGCCTTCACGCCAGGTACGAACCGGTCTTTACCCAGTAATGGGGGGTTGACGGAAGAGCTGACCTCTGTCGTTAGTACAAATCATGTACCCAGTCATTTACATGTAAGTAGAGAGTATTGAACATTGCAGTATTTAATTGCATGTCACCATAATCACTCACATCCTCTCTGTCTCCTTCTCCAGGGGAGCAAACTCTCCATGGTGCACCCCAGTGGGCCCTACCCACCATCCCTGGCCCATCTGATGATGTATAACCAGGACCACTACCCCCCAGGAACACCTCCCCCACCCCATCTGGCAAGCGCGATAGAAGTTGACGCAAAGACAGGTGAAGCAAAATTCAAAATTGATTTAATTTTACCATCCTATCAATTGAAATTAGCAAAGAAGCCCAATGATAGAAAACTAAGTGTTGGAAGTCTCCTTGTAAAGCAAGAACTGTAAAGCTTTTTCTAGCTAATTTATTTTACAGGTTGATTTTTTTTGTGTTAACAGTTAAATGTGATAGTGGCAACTCTGCATGATTTAACGAGTGAATACATAATCTAGAATGCTAGCCAGACCTTTTCGAGTGAGCTAGAAGTGGGATTAAGGTGAACATGCTGTAATTTTGTATTTCCAATTCCGTTTCCCGTCCTACCAGTTCTTTTTCATCATGCTGTTAATGGCACTGCCTGTATCTCTCCACCAAATACAATGGAAAAATGCATGTAATTTATGCACATTTTGTCATAAGTGGATCATATACAAACATGTACGTAATGTAACCGGCTCCGATGTTTACAGCGTATTACATGTTCATCTGTACACACATACTCTCTTGCTGCCTTCACTGTATGCCACTGCGCAGCGTCTGTAGGCAAACAGAGGATGTTGAAAAATTCTCCCCCCCCTCCCCCCCAACGAGCAGCTCGTGTGCAGTGTCCGAATGCTTGCATCTCCAAGCAACCGAGACTCATCTGCGTCTGGTTTACCTCCCTGTTTGCCATATTGAGATGAATTAGGCCGCAAATCTCTCAGTTTTGAAGACCCACGCATACATTTCAACGTGCACGTATCTCATTAAACTGCTTGTACGTTTACCTTGCTCTATTCTAATAACAACTATTATGTCGGCCTGGACTCGAAGCCGAGAAAAAAAACAAGACCCACCGGCACCAGGAGGTCGTTGTCGCGTTGGTCATGACTGACCCATCGCGAGTCATCGCGGCTTGTCCATTGCTGTCCATCCTGTGTTTACCATTACACGTACTGATAACAGTTATTTCATCAAGCTTATTTTCACACATTTTCTATCTTGAAAATTCATCGTTTGCAGAGGAGTTTCAGCACTCCCCCTCATTCTTTCAATATGGGGCGATTCACAACAGTGCGCCCCCAAGAGTCTGGAACGCATTGGCCAATCACAATGTGCGGAATCTGTCGGACCCAATGCGCGTTCAAAAAGGATTGACAAATGTCGCGCGTTGTGATTGGCCAACGCGTTGCAGACTCTTGGGGGCGCACTATTGTGAATCGCCAGTATTTGTACAGGGTCGAAACCACTGGAAGCTGTCCAGATTCTCCCTGAAATAAAGAAAAATTTGTTCTTTTCAATGCTTGTATATATATATATATATTTTTTTTTTAGCATTTGCACCAGAACGTTTGTACATGTACTTGGTTTGCTTCACCAGTGTAGTGTTGCTGTAAATATGAAATTTGTTGCCGTCAAATTGGTGTTCATGTAGATATTGACTAGAGAAATCATATTTGTATCAGAACTACTGACTGACGCCACTATTGGTAGAATTTGACCATGGCTATGATAAATTTCAGCCTAAAAATTGTCTGCAGATTACGGCTGTATCTTTTCTGAGCTCGCATATAAACCTTACTACAAGGTGGTGCAGTTACAATCAAGCCTGAGGATCTTAAGTGAACAAGAGCCTTGAATGAAGAGAAATTTGGCTCTTGGAAATATGGTCGAAAAAGATTGGCACGGATGCGTGGAAGGGATCAGAAATGAGTCCAACTCCATGTCCAAGGACATTACAATACTCAGTTTCCTTAATTAACCCCCTAGGGTGTATGTAAAATTATATTGAAATCGGAGGATTTGGGACTATTAGGGTTAAATATTATCAGAAGACCACATGCTTGAATGAGACCGGTACCATGTTACCGTATCTTTCAGGTTGAATTCTAACTTTGCGTTTCAGCACACAAGGTAGACTGTGGTTAAAAGGCCCTGCACCACTGCTGTGATATGAGAAGGGGAGCGATGGTGTGATATATACATGTACATGCCCACATTTAGTCTGGTCACCATGTCATTAACCTTTGGTCCTCTGGCAGCTTTATTGCGGCCAAGAAAGAATGGCATTGCATGCATTGCAGTGTTTGCTTCACCACACATTTGAGGAATGGCCCATTTCGAGGGAGAAAACTGGATTTGTAATCTATCAAACTGTTTACTTTGAAGAAATGGGGGGAAATTGCCGGGTGGAAACTGTTTTGAAGGCTTTTGGAGGGCAAAAATTAATTTGGTATACAGGTTCCCGGGTATTTTGTAGAGGGATGGGTTTTGTGTTATTTTAGTTTCGTTTTGTTCAGTTGTACATTTAATCATTAATTTCAACTGCCATTTTGCGGGGAAGACATGGGATGTGGACTGACATTGCTATTACTGGAGAGAATTTAGTACGGGTTGCACTGTAACCGAATGCGGGCCCACAGAAAACAGTGGAAAATCAGACAGAAACAGCGCTACCTGGTGACACTCAGGAACCACTTCAAAATGTGTGTTTCACAGGAAATTCAAGATTATGGCCACAAGATCAGTTTTCTTTTCAGTTGGTAAGGGTTCACCAGGAAAAGTTTGTTCCTTCCGCAAAACACCCCCAAAATAGTCAAAACTCTGTGACAGGTCTGAACGTACCCATCTGCCTCTATTTAAAATAGGCCTGAGTTGGAAGTTTTTGTGAACGAAGGTTCTCTACAATCAGTTCCAATTATTCCATCACTTTCTGCAAATAACCCTTCACATTACAACACATAAATGAACTTCCTCGCAGAAATGTAGCGATTTAGTGGAATGCACTCTGCCCATACAGCAGCTGTGCTCAAGCATCACAAATTGCATCATGGGATATTTTCTGCTGTCCGTTTCTCCCTCGAAGAAATTTCAGATATTTTCCGAAACACTGAATGGTAAAATGTTCTCAGTTTTGACTGCCGCCGACTAATGAATCCAGATCCAAATTTAGGCCGAGGATCAGTAAAATGAGAATCTTTGTGAAGCTGGTCACACATGTACCTCTCTTGTGATAGACCGTACGATACAATCCGCTTTGGTTTCCTGTAATTAATCATTTTCCGTCTTGATTGTACCAAACAGGTATACCCAGACCCAGGCATTCATCAGAACTTCCCTTGTACCATCCACTGTCTCCTGGTTCATTAGGCAATGTGCCCCACCACTTAGAAGTGTACAATGTGCCTTGGTAAGTATGGGAATCAGGCTTGTTAGCCATCAGAGAAACACAGAGGTGTCAGATGGTGAGAGAAGAGAATTTGTGGACAGTTGAGTATGTTGAATTTTCATGCGCAATCTGGGCAATTGAACAGCTAGCTAATGTACCAGTCCCACCGTGTTATAGAAAAATACTGCAGTTGAATGTGCGGTGTATCGTTGTCATCTAGGATAATTCAAGATACCTGTAAATAACTGAAATTTTGATCAGTCAGTTAAACCCTTACCTGTCATTTTTTTTTTATCTTTTGGATGGTTCTTAGAAGCTACATGTAAGTGCTGCATGAGGGGACCCAATGCCCGCACATGTATTTTTGCCAGATCCCTAGTTTCGCCAGTTGTTGTGAAGTGTGGTTCGTTTTCACAGTAAATGGCCAAATTAGGGACCTGGCGATAGTAGAGTCACGGATGTTTATGTATTCTTGAGAGAAAATAAAGATGCATTGAAAAATTTACTAGAGCGGGATAGAACACCGGATCAGCACTGTACCAACTTAACTACCCAGCCCTGTGTTGGCGGTTCTTCCCATTTGTCAAACTGTTTGTTTAGGGATACGTGGAGATAGAAGCCATGAAACCTGACACACCATATAGCCAGGGATCATGGCCCACAGGCAAGATGCACGCAACGCGAGCAATGCCACAAAACCGTGGATGCGTGGACGTGGATTATACAAGAAGGATAATAGCCCTTATTTGCAAATTCAAAAAGTTAAACTGACTGTTGAGCTTACTGAAGAAAGAAATTTGTTCATTTCAAGATGAACCTAAGTGAGCAGTAGTATTGAAAGGAAACTACTCATCGTATTAATTAACCTGTTGTTCTCCTCACTCCTTTTTTTTTTTCTCTTTCTGCTTCAGGCAAGGCCAACCCTTTTACCCCCTCACAGGTGCTCTCAGGTCCCCCTACCCAACTCTCATCAACCCGTCGGGGATGTCACGCATCGGCCACCCTGGCCTGCCCCCACCCCACCATGGCATGGCCGTCACAGGTATCCCGCACCCGGCTATTGTCACGTCGGGCACGAGGCAACAAGACACGCAACAACAGAGTAACGACAGGTGCGTACATACGCTGCTCCTTTCACTGATCAGTCCTTTATTCAGCTCTTGAAATTTGTGAAAATGTGCACAGATGAAGTTTTGCGACACGGAGATATTAGTATGGAATATTTGTCATTGGCCATTTCTCTTCATCGGCGCTTGTGTAACTTTGCAAGCACTGTTTGTTAGCAATGACTGAGATCTTTTAAAAACTTCGTAAGACTATGCAGTTGGAAGTATAGTACCCATTACCTCTTGCTTTATAGTACATGTATACACGTCTAGACTCAGTCTGGCAGGCTTTCCCAGCTAGCTGTTTAAGGTGTTTGAATGAGTAACATTAGGTTCTTGATTTCCAGTAGGCTTGTGAATTTTCTGTTCGCAAGATTGCAGACTGCAGCAAGTTCCAGTATTCAGTGCATAACAAATTATGTCAGGGTAAAAAAATCCAATCTTTTCAATCGTAAAAATTCGCCCGAGCCCATGGAAAAAGTGTCGCCTGAGGGAGTTTCTTCCTGGGTCAGTGATCAGACTGATTCACTCGGCCCTTAGATTTTGAATCTTGCCTGCAAGTGTCCACAGAGATTAAAATTGGCACAGCTGCTGACTGACATCAGCATTCATCTCAAATCTCACCACCTCCTCTGCCCCGCAGACAACCCCCACCCAAAGAGAAGGAGTCCAAGCATTCAGACAAGCGGCGGCCGCCACACATCAAGAAGCCACTCAACGCATTCATGCTGTACATGAAGGAGAAGCGAGCGAGTGTGGTCAAGGAGTGCACGCTCAAGGAAAGTGCTGCCATCAACCAGATCCTGGGAAGGAGGGTGAGTCTGAGTTTCACAGTCCATGTTGTCTCTTCAGTGTCCAAATAAATGACTCAAAAACGATGTGAGGGTTTTTACTGTCATTTTCAGAGTAAAGTGCTTCCTTAAGTGTTTTTAAATTTACTAACTTTCTCTCTCTTTTTGTTGGAAGAGGTGCATGTGACACTTTTCTTCAGAAAGAATTTTAGAATGTGAAGCATACTTCGAGTCCAGTTTTCAAATATACAGCAAATCACAATTTCAGACATGCCCTGGTCCCCTCCCCTCAAAAAAATTGGCTGAAAGGGCAGCTGGAAATTGTCAGGTTTCACCAGGACCGTTCAGCTAGAATCCATGATGGTTAAAGACTTAATCGAATGATAGGATGGCTCATGTGATCGTGTCAAAGGAGAAACAAACAAATCCTCTAGCATCAGATGTATGGAAGGAAGCCAGTTCTGTCTTGAGAATGAATTTCTTGGACACATATCTTGGCATTATGTGTAGCTGCTCTTTCAACGGTAGACTGCATGTTATTGTGTCAGTTAAGCCTTTCCTCTTGTTGGCCACATGCGGAGTTTGTAAGAGAAGGATTTTCTGTGAATGCGCACAACAGAGCTTGGCTCAGGTCTTGCTCAATCCCCGATGTCGCTCTTCCCTTCTGCCTTTTGTTCTCCCCAACCCCCCCTCCCCCACCAGAAACTTCTGACGCGCAGAAATTGATTTTTCTCGTGCGTGCGTGTGTGGGTTTGAAAGGGTTAATTTGATTTTCTCTTTTGATTTCTGATCGATTCCCCGTCGGGGACAGTGGCACGCACTCTCCCGGGAAGAGCAGGCGAAGTACTACGAGCTGGCCCGTAAGGAGCGACAGTTGCACATGCAGCTGTACCCCACCTGGACGGCTCGCGACAACTACGCAATGCACGGCAAGAAAAAGAAGAAGAAGAAGGACAAGAACCCCAGCGACAACTCAGGTACGCTCCCCCCCCCTTCGCTGCCGTTCGCCTCCCGCGCCTTTCCCCAAACTGTTTCCAGCCATCATCCTTACCTACATGGATGGAGCGAGTTTTCACAACCCGTATTCATTTGTGTGCGTCGGTTTTCTTTGTACGGAGAAAAAGGGGTGTATCTTCGTACATCTTCATCATTATTTCTTCCAGTAGACATGTAATGATATTAGACTGGAGATAATTGATTCGGCTACCTACAAATGAAGTTTGATTTAAAAGAAGAGAAATAGTCCCGTCCCCCTGCCCTTCTCCGCCCAAAAATCACCAGCTAATGATACTGTCATTGCCACATGTTGAGGTCTAGAGACGGTTAAGCTGTGTACAAATTCAGCTAATCTTTAGAGGCAAGAGGGGCCCACTCTGGTGTGGTCTGCCATATTTCGGTCCAGTCAGAAGTCTGTGTGTGTGCGCAGCACAGGCACTTACCAGGCAGATTTGACGGAGTCTTTGGATTGAAGTGTCATTTTGTAGTGACCATGACCGCCAACTCTTTGAATGCCTGTTGGTTTTTTGTTTGTTTGTTTTTCTTGTACAAATTCCAGAAATCTCATCTGGGAACTACCAGTTATGGGCTAGGATTTCGTAGCCAGTTGGGTACCAGCATCTGTGTATTTTGTCTTTGCACTTTAAAAAAAAAAAAAGTAGTTTTTCCCCCCCTCACCTGCCACCGAGTGATATTTTCCCCCCTCGGTTGGACACTTTGTGCTGTGATTTTGGTTGATCTCCCTGTCATAGTGGATTTCTTGAGTTTACTATTTAGCCCCTGTGGTCATGCAGGTTGCCCAGAATGTCAAACCCTTTGTGCCGGTTCTAGGTGCTTTGCGAAAGATGGGAAGGAAGAACCTATAGTTGCTAAAATTCTGCTTCTCTCGATTTGCACGTACCGCAGAAAGAACTAGCAACGGGATTCTTGGCCAACTTTTACGTTTCCCCCCCTTTGCCGGGGCTGATTGGCTCCCTGTTTATTCATTAACACAGACCAGGAACCGTTTAGCGTCTGGCAAGGGGCCCCGGCTGTCGCCAGAAGGGCTTAATCATTAATTTCATTACAGCCCCCAAAATTGCCCAAGCCAGCCTAGCAGCACATTCACACGTACACGCGCGCGCACACACACCGCGCCAGGGACACTCAGCACATTAAGTTTGTGTTCTCGAGTTGTTAATGTAGTTGGCTGACGCCAGTGGTCAAGTTGCCTGGACTGAATTTAGTCTCTTTTGATTTATCATTCTTTTTCTTCACTTTACCAGTGTACTCACTTTCAGACCCTTATTTTGTTATCAAGCGTGACCACTGTTTTTTTATCAGGCAGATCGTATGCGTGCCTGGGATCTTTGCAATTTTTAACGCAATTTGCTTGAGACAGCTTGCAGACATAACATTAATTTTCCCACACTGTAATCTACCTAATTACTCAACCTACATTTGGAAGACCAAAAAGCAATATTTCAAATTTTGTCACACCCTGTAGCTCTTTGCCCAAAACATTTTTTCTCTGTAACAAAGCCTGATTATGCTAGCATTGTCGGCCTTAAGAATTTGAGAAACCAAACCCGTAAAAATGGGCAAACAATTAAACTACAAATAAGTACAGGCTCATGCGAGACTTCAATTAAATGAGGACTCCCACTGAAACTTGACACATTGTCGACTGTACAATTTTACACCCTGTTAGGAAAATTAAGACACTGTTTGGGGTTAATTTTCTAAAACGACTCTAGCGCTACTGGATTGCAGTTTTATAATCACCCACCCTTAGAAGCAACACAAAAACATCAGCAGATGGTGTGAAGGGTCGACGTACATGTGATAGACAGATATGATATTTCTGGTGTCAAGTTTAAACAGCTACATTTTTATACGAGTCATTAAATTTCACGATGCACCACCAGACACAACCCTGACGGGTTGGAACTTGAATGAATTAACGGTTGAGATATGATTTGAAGAAACTGCATTTTGACTGGAAATACCAAGGACAGTCATTGCTTTTTTTCCCCCCAACTCTCTTTTCTCTTGTGTATTGATCGACTGAGACTCGGGTTTTACACTTCATTGATTCTCTAATCAGTTGAACTGATGTGAGTAAATCTCGTCACAGAGTAAATATTCCCAGTTGGAAAATTGTTAGTGCAAACCACTTTAATTGAGTTACAGAATGTTTCCTCTTTCCCTTGAACAATCTGAGGCGTGTTGAAATTCATGTTTCTGAAGCGGTTTGGCAATTTTTTTTCCCTTGTTCTTTGTGTGTGTGTGTGTGTGTGATTGTGGGGATTGGGGTATTCAAGTTGTGTGGGGGGAGGGGGCTTGTTTCAAAGGAAACTGTACAAATTTTGATTTGATTTACAATTCCAATCAGACCTCGTGCAAAAAAGGGAGGTACAGGTACACTGTATCTCTGCAGTGAGACAGATTTTAGAAAAAGAAATGTCTTGAGGCGGGATCTTTCAAGCTCAGATCTGATCCAACTTGCGCTGTGGACAAACTGATCCGTTTCTCAATTTTGTGCTCTCTCCACCCCATTTTCCCCAAACAAACGACCAAGGAAAGAAACAAGCAGAGAGACAAATCCTCGAAGCACTCTCTTAAAATAAAACTTCACATTAAACAGCACTTTATTTCAGCATGGCCATAGTGTGTTTTTTTTTTTTTTTTGACCAGAAGTGCTACATTTTGTGATATGCGGGGTGTTCAATATTTCATAGGAAGGGACCCCAGGGGGTGCCAGAGACAAGGTGAACATCCCACTAATCCCACTATTAATCTTCCCCCGGAAAAGGTTACTCGGGGTCAGAGAGCTGGCGCTGTCTTCGGCCTAGATGGAGGAAGGAGAAAAAAACAAAAGAAAAAAAGCTTAGTTCTGTTTATAGGGGTGCATGCAAAGGGTTTGGGCCTCTTTCTTTGCCTGTGAATGCTGCTTTATGTTTGATCTGGAAAAAGGGGCTGTTATCCAACTAACCGGAATGAGGGGTGTTTAGAGATATTATTCTGACTGGTTAAACATTTTCTTGGCAGGTTTTTGGGCAGTGTTTCAGTCCTTGTTGAGTAACTGTGCTGTTCAGAGATTGTATAGCCATGGCGAGGGAGTTGGGATCTGTTTTTAAGGAGGATACCATGAAACCGTAAAGGGGGGGGGTGAACTGGGTGACATTGGGGTTAAAGTGGTTAGCTTCCCTGCCCCCTCGCCTACAACTCTCGCGAGGGGGCAGAACGTGAAGGCAGAGCCACCGCATTGTTTGAGGATGTCTTGTGTCCATCTCTGTCAATAGTTGTCTTGTTTCACCAAAGCTCCTGTTTTGTTAACACCTGGGATGCATTTTGTTTCTTCAAACCGGAAAGAAAAGCTCCACAGTAACAAGCCGCCGTTGCCAAAGCGGCATGTTAACCATTTGGATTACTCAGATGCTCCTTGTTAATATTCCAACATGATGCCAAAAACGGATTCACAATTGTATTCTTTTGAGTGTTCTGGGAAATGGTGCGTTTTGAAAGCAAACACAGCTTGTTTGGATATCTAGTCAACTGGATTCCGTTGGAGTCACACTTAAGTCAAAGCTGATCCACAGATGCCATCGTGATCCAAAGCCATCGTGAGTAAGCATCAGGTAATGCTGTTGGTGGGTGACTTTCATTTTGGGGAGGGATTGCTGGGACTGATGAAGGTGCTCTGATTTCATGCTATATCCCTCCCCCCCCCGCCAGTTTTGAGAAGCAGTACTTTATGAGAATGCTTTATTTATCCTGCATAGTTTCCTGTCACTGCATTTGATACTCGATCCATGATTGGAAAAAAAAAAGTAACTTAGGTTCCTATGATACAAAGAAAATGTACGATGGACAACAGCTCTGTGGACCGGAGGCAAGCGATGATGAGATAAGGATGCAAGGAGAATCTCGTAGGAGACGGGGGTCGAACGACAGAGAGGAGGGAGAGAGTGAGTGAGATGGTGGATAGAGGGGATGACCGATTCTAGAGGAAGACGAACAACGGCGACAGCGATGAAAAATAGCCACTGTCCTCCCCAGCGTTATTCACAACACAAATTGGGGATCAGCGGGAGATCTTTCAATCTTGCACTATCCCCCCCCTCCTTCCATTGCAGTCTGAGCACAGTGTGGATTTTCCCCCTGATTCCTTTTGAATAATCCAACGGAAATCGAATCGTGCGCAAAACCAACAGCCATCCATCATACGCCAATCTCCTCTCTTGTCCGTGGCCTACGGGTAGTCTTGGAAGTATGTGGGGAGGGGGGGTTCAGATCTCATACGCTCTCTCTCTTTCTGGCTCAATTCATTTTTTATGCAAGAGGTGATAAATTTTGAAACATTGATTTGTGTGCTGGTGCCGTACTTGTGCATGTGGGTGGGTTCTCAAGGAAAAGGAGTTGGGCGTGCATAAATACATGGATCTCTTTAAACTGTTTGCAAGATGCGATGTACCGTGATACGTTGTCAGTTAAAGGTCATGAACCATAACCTGTAGCGCTAAAGGTCGGACAGTAGTAACCAAAAAGGACTCTCACTTCATACCACTTGCCGGCAACAAATTTCTGAAAGGATCTTGAAACAGATCTTAGACCACATTAGGTACACGGAGCTACAACCACAACCCAAATTAACTTGCCCTGGGCCTTCATTTCTAATGGCATCGATGTCGTCTGAGCATCACATTCAAGTGGACATTTGTCTCGGCTTTCTGAGGTACATCATTGTTTCTGAGTTGAGCAGAGTGCGAGTAATTCTATGTGAGTGCAAGATGTTTACATTTACCCACATACGTCATGCTGAAAGCTGTGGCTTCAGCACAGACAAATCTGAGGAGACGCCATTCCTGCGGGGACATCGCACTCACGCACGGGTTTGAACGTGAGCGCTTGTGCGCATTTAGCAAGTCACAACACCCGTTTGGTGGGAGAGAAATGCAACGCCCGCGTACCACCTGCGTGCACACAGGATGGCCCCTCA